TGGCAGTCTCTGTTAGTGACAAAACTCCAACAGCCCTTCAGAGACCTGGTAAGAGCAAAACTGCTAAAGGGATAATGTCCCTTGTTATTGGTACAGTCTGCGGGGGTCACTAGAAGCATAATTGCCCCCAAAGGCCTAAACCTCCAGGACCTTGTCTACTCTGCAGGCCAAAAAGTCACTGGGAAGCAGGTGTACTCTCTTCTGAAGAGAGGAGAGAACACCTAGCTCAGAAATGACGGTCACTGAGAAAGCCTGGAAATCTGCTAAAGTTCCTGGCACTGACTCACCACCACCCCAACAAACTCCAGGAGAATATTAAGGAGCTGGAACGCAAATTCATTCCTTAATTAAGATAAGGCTACACAGCCGGGCTCGGTGACTCAGCCTGTAATCCCGCGCCTTTGGGAGGCTGAGGTGAGTGGATTGCCTGAGCCCGCAGGTTCGAGACCCGCCTGGGCATCTCTACAATAAATCAAAAAAAAAATCAGCCAGGCGTGGTAGCACATGCCTGTAATTCTGGCCACTCGGAAGGCTGAGGCAGAAGGATCTCCGGAGCCCAGCAGGTCGAGGCTGCGGTGGCCGGGAGCGGCCACTGCCCTCCAGTCTGGGCGACAGAGTGAGACTCCAACTCAAAAAAAAAAAAAAAGATAAGGCTACATGATTCCAACATGGATGGCCAGCTGTTTGGCCATCCATGTTGGAATCATATAGCCTTATCTTAATTAAAGTTACTAAAGGTAATTTCAAATTATAAATGTAAAAAGTTTTATGAATTTACCATTAATATCAATTATACTAATACTAGGCCTAAATGCTACTCAGAGACCACAACACAAGCTTCTTGATAATCTCCAAAAGAATTCTCTCCTATAAATAGCAGAGCAGGGGGAGAAAGAGACAAATCAGTTAGTTCTCCTCTCCTGTGTTCCTTGGTTTTCCTTGTGTAAAATCTCTATTTAAAAGCGAGTTTGGTTTTTTTTTTACTTGTCAAATTTTCATACCATCACTTTGGCTAAATAAGTAACTTTTGCAATGATCTGTAATCATGTGTTATAACATTATGCTTTTAAAGCCTTCAATATGTAAATTCTTCAAGATCTCAATTCAGTCTCTCTAGAATAGAATAAGAAACAAAGGCTTCAGAAACTACACCTACCCCACACCCTCCTCCTGAACTGCATGTACACCAGGTAAACTGTTTTTGTAAACAAAGTTCATCTGAAAGCCTAAAATGGTAACTCAGTCACTCACTGCAATTTATAATCAGCTATAGTGCTTTTAAGTGCCAAATTGCTAACGACTTTAAAATCTCCTTCCAGGCATAAGGATTACTAATCCAACATAGGATAGATAACAAGATGGCTTTTTCTGTTTAAATTATTACTAATTATTTTTGTTAAACTTTGATGTAATATTGGCCTGTCAAGGTGGAAGGCCAACACCACCCCTCCTTCCATTCCTCCCATCAAAATCAGAGAGGTGCCGGGCTTGGTGGCTCAGCCTGTAATCCCGTGCCTTTGGGAGGCTGAGGTGAGTGAATTGCCTGAGCCCGCGGGTTTGAGACCCGCCTGGGCAATTTGGTGAGACCTCATCTCTACAATAAATTAAAAAATCAGCTGGGCGTGGTAGCGCATGCCTGTAATTCTGGTTATTTGGAAAGCTGAGGCAGAAGGATCGCCAGAGCCCAGCAGGTTGAGGCTGCGGTGGGCAGGAGCGGCCACTTCACTCTAGTCTGGGCGACAGAGTGAGACTCCAACTCAAAAAAAAAAAAAAAAAAAAAAAATCAGAGAGGTGTCAATCTCCCATCTCCAGAGTGGAGGCTATCTGAAATCCACCCTCTTTAGCATATTAATTATTGTGACCCTATATCAGACCTATTGTTCAAAAAAAGGGGATAGTTTTTCAGCCCAAACTACCTGTTTTAAATTATCTTGTTCATTATTATTTCTTACAAGTTAAACTACAACGTAACTACATCTTTCCAAACAAATGTTTTCAATTTTTTTCTTTCAAACTTTCTAAAAGTAGCTGTATTTCCTTGGTAAAGTCATTAACAAACTCCTTGTAACTGTCTATAAATTCTTACCAGAAAATTCAAAAAAACTTGAAGACAAGCACTGAGAACATCCACATAGGAACTAAGGAATTCACTGGTGTAAGAGTAAAAACTGCCTGAACTCCTATAGTGGGTGTCAAGCCCACTGGGGTTACTATTTATAAAAACATTTTATTAGACATCAAGATCTCAATATGTCATAACAGCAGCTATAATGGTCTTTATCATAGTAGTATTAATTCTAATAGTATATGTTTGTGCACAGTGCTTTGTGTACAGAGACTAAGAATACTTAACAGCTCCATAAGCTCCTCTCCTCTCATCCCCTCCTCTTATTCTAGACAGGTAGGGACATCTTTGCACCCCATATCCTGCAGGAAGCAGTTACAGAAAACTGACCTTCACCCCTGTTCCCAGGTACAAATCAGAATATTTTAAAGTAACAAGAAAGGGGAATAAAAGGACATAATATGGACTCAATATACCCAATGAGCAGCCATTTTAACATTGCCTAGATCTGTCACGTTTTTCCAGCAGTTCACTTAAATTTAATTTTAATTTACCCTCTAATCACTAGCCAAGAACAAAACTGATTTCTCAGAGGTAGCTGTAGCTAATTGTTTTACAACCCCTTCCTCAGCTTGTTTCATAAACAAGTTAACCTAGTCAGCCCTTCATGACCTTCGTGGCAGACCTCATCAGCATGTTAACAGTCATCTGCCTGTTGTCCATCACCTGACATCAGTACCTGTGCTTACCTGCCCTTTGTAATGACATGGAGCAGACCACCACCTAGTCACCTTAACAATCTGTCCCCTATCAAAAGAAAGATTTAAAAGGATTCAACTTCTCCAGGCTCGGTGGCTCAGACTGTAATCCCGCGATTTGGGAGGCTGAGGTAAGTGGATTGCCTGAGCCTGCGGGTTCGAGACCCACCTGGGCAACTTGGAGAGACCTTATCTCCACAATAAAATAAAAATTAGCCAGGCATGGTAGCGCATGTCTAGTTCCTGCTACTCGGAAGGCTGAGGAGGAAGGATCGCCAGAGCCCAGCAGGTCGACGCTGGGGTGGGTGTGAGCATGCGGGCCACTGCACTCCAGCCTGGGCAAAGGAGTGAGCCTCCAACTAAAAAAAAAAAAAAAAAAAACAACGACAACAACAACAAAAAAAACGCACCCTAAACAAAGACAAAAGATTCAAGACTACAGAGTTGTAGAAAATATCATATATATATAAAAGGTAAAGATTATATCTAATGTATACAATGAACTTCTACAAATTGAACAGAAAACATCAGCCAGATAGAAGTAAGTCTGAGATATTGGTAGGCAATTCACTAAATAGGAAATGCAAATTGTTAATAAACATAAGAAAAGATGCTCAACTTCACTAGGAGTCAGGGAAATGCAAATTAAATTTCAAAGACATTAGCATTTTGGGGTCTGGCAGATTGGCCCAAAGTGTTGACCAGGCTGGGAGTGGGGGGTGGGGCCCTCTTCTGCACTCTTGATGTGCCAGCTTCAAGAGTAAAAGCAATCCCACACTTCTGAATCCATCCTGGAAGAAATAATAAAACAAATGCACAAAAACATGTAAACAAGAATATGTATTGCTGCATTGTTTTCAATGACAATACTGTAAACACTCTTCATGTACATCAATAGAAGAATGGTATATAATCTATTCATACAATGGAATAATGTGCAGCCACGAAAAATAATGTGTTGGCGCTATAGATGCTGACTTGGAAATTATTCATGAGTATGAAGGAAAATAAGGTCTAAGTCAATGTGTCTGGCATTTTGAGTGTATGTGGACCTAAATATATCTATATAAATCCTGTGCAAGTTGTTAACAGTGGTTTACTTTGAAAAATAGAATCAGTCAGATGGAGGGATAAGACTTTCCTCTTGATATAATTTTTTTTTCATTCCCTCAAGGTTTTTATTTTTATTCAACTATAAGCAAACAGAAGAATTAACACAACTTTCAACAAATTCCAGACTGGTTTTTCTTACTCCAGGAAAGAGTGACCAAATTTAAGGATTCCTGATAACCTGCTACCTAGCACTCCTATGGGTCTAAATGGCCACACCTTAACAACAGAAAGTCACTCGCCCTATTCTTTTTCCAGGATTTCTCTTTCAAGGAGCTGAAGCAGGGCACTGGCGCCAATGAAGTCATCTGAAATGTGTCACACTGAGGTTTAGCCATGACGCCAGCCTCTGGTTGACTAGCTGTGACAGCACCGTAGAGACACGTCTCAGAAGATGCTGTTGCATACAATTCTGGACTGAGATCACAAAGGCAGGGGCAACCGATTCTTCTCTCTCTCTTAAAGATTCTTTGATGCTTTGCTCTATTATTATAGATCTGGTCATTTTGCCTAAATCTTTTCTTCTTTAAATTCCAGGTTGCAGCCGGGCTTGGTGGCTCAGCCTATAATCCCACGCCTTTGGGAGGCTCAGGTGAGTGGATTGCCTGAGCCCGTGGGTTTGAGACCCGCCTGGGCAACTTGGTGAGACCTCATCTCTACAATAAATCAAAAATTAACCGGGCGTGGTAGCACTTGCCTGTAGTTCCAGCTCCTTGGAAGGCTGAGGCTGAAGGATCACCGGAGCCCAGCAGGCCGAGGCTGTGGTGGCCGGGAGCGGCCACTGCACTCCAATCTGGGCGACAAAGTGAGACTCCAACTCAAATAAATAAATAAATTAATTAATAATAAATAAATAAATAAATAAAATTCCAGGTTGCTATTCTTCTACTAACCATTTGATGACCCCATCGTGGTACCAGAACATTCCCCAAAATAGAGTTCAAATTTGATCCGAGCATAAACTGGGTGCGTGGCTATCTGGCATTATAAAGGACAAGCAGTAGGAAAAGTCACCCTAAGCCACTCTCTGACTGCTCAAGTCTTGCCTGCGCGGCGGGAGCGGGGAAAGAGGAGAAATCTACATGCAACACTGAACTGGAGAACACTGCTTGGGGCCTTCGGGACAGCTGACACCTCCGAGCGCTCCCCTACTTCCCAGACAACTGCTCGTAGAGTTTGGACACATAGTCATCTCATTCAGCTTGGTAACACGTATCAGCCACTGGGGACCCAAGCTCATACTTTTTACGGAAAGATGCCACCTTGAATTTGCCACGGTGGTCTCTAGATCGGTTGCTGAGAATGGGCTCATCACACTTCTGCGGCCTGTTCTGCTCGTAAACAAACCAGACGTAGCGGTGGAGGCCTGTGCCCTTGGGGGGGGGGGGGTCTGAGCCCACGTAGTCGGAGAGGACTGTGCCACTGCTGATGTCACTGCTCTTCATGTTGACCACCAGAAAATGATGCCATTCTCTGTATTTGGGGTCCTTCCTGCTGGGAGCATCCGGGTCTGTCAGAACCAAGGTGTAGAGTTTACCTGGATCTAGGTCATCCCACGAAACGTTGGTGGGTCCGTCCTTAACCTGGGTGGGCGTCAGCACTTTGCGCAGCTCGTCCACCGCGGCGCCGCCGTAGGTGACCCGCAGCGAGTGCTGCGGCTTCTCGTCCACTTCCTGGAGGCTCAAGGGCCCGGACCACTTGCTGAGGTCCACTGGCATGGCAGGGCCGAGTGGGTCGTTCAGCCGGAGAGCCGCGGCAGGCCAGGTGCACGCGGCGGCAAACTGCCCCGGGAAGGCGCGGACCCCGCGGCTGCACGAGTGCACGCGCCCCGCCACGCCCCGCCCCTCACGCCGATATAATTTTTTTTTAAAGCAGTGAGATTATGAGCAAATTTAATTTTTTAAAATTATGTTACTCCCCAGTTACCATTTGGGGCGGAAAGTAAAGAACACTTTTGTGAAGCCTGAAGTCCCCTCCAAATTCCCAGGCTGGTCGGCATTCTTTCTGACCAAACTGCTGCTGAACCGAGTCGGCTGAGAGTGGGTTCAAAGAGAACAAGATGGGTCCAAATGGGCACTGGTTTAATTAAGATTAGAATCAAGCCAACCGAAGCCACTTAAAGTATATGATGTCGGATGTGCCCAAGGCAAGACACATCGTTTTTGATATCTAAGGCTGAAGGAAAGTTTGAGACCTAGCATTGAGAGAGTTTTGGGGGTGGAGAATTTTATTGTTAATGGCATAATTATATTTACAACAAAAATTATCCTCATTTAATGCCAGTAATTTAATTACTGATTTAGAAAATGGAAGTGTCCAGCAGACTCTGGACTGCCCTCAGAGACAGATTTTGCATCCTTTGAGGCAGTTCAAAGACCCCCTTTACTGGGAAGTCTTCCCTCCAGCCTAGTACATTACAGAGATCTGGAGAGAGGACTTGTAACCTGTGAAGAGCTATGTGGGATTGTTTCTGTGGAATTGGAATTCTCATCTGTCTTACTTTCCTTATACTAAAAGGCAAGGTGGGAAAGATGACTCCGGAGGCAGGCAGCTGCTCAAGGACAGGCTCCCTGGGGGTGAGAGAGGCAAGAGACTTCACCTCCTGGAGATCAAACCTGAATTAGTCAGCATACTCAAATGACTCACAATCAGAGGATCCCAGTCTTAAAAGAAGCCTGTAAGGGCTGCAAGGATTTCTGACTCCACATCCGACCTTTGAACCCAGGTGGCACTGTCCCTCTACAAGGGAGATGGGTCTCCTTTTTCTGGGATTACTTTCCAGACAAGATGACAAGCTTTGGGTATGTCCAGATCTCCTGCTACACTGTGGTTTTCAGATCTTCTCTTTGGGTGGTTACTTAGCAGATGGCTGATCTCACCAATTGATTCTTACTAACTTCATTTTCCTTCAGTGCTGGGCATGCTCCCTGTAACCCCACAGCTGGCCCTGACCCACCCCAAAATCTGAGTGGAATTGTTAGAATCTGCCTGCAGGGCCCTTTCAGTGTCTCTGCCCAGATAGTGATCACTGATAAATATCAGTGATTCAATCTGTTCATTTCCAGAAGCTGCTGCTTCTGGCTTAGAAAGTCTCTTCCTTTCTTTTCTGCTTATTCAAATTCTTTCCTCCACATTGGGCTGGCGACTCTTCTAGAAGGAATCTTGTCCTTCCGTCTCCCAATGCCACTCATCCTCCACCCCAAATCTCCATTAATATTGTACTGACTGCTGCCAACTAGCATAGTCAACCCAGTGCTCTTTATCACCCTCATGTGTCTGTGGGGCTCTGCTAACAAGGTTAGCAGTTCCTGAGCAAGGACCCTTACCCATCGGCCTTTGCATCTTCTATAGCATCTGCTGCAGCAAATGGTGGAAAGCATCAACTCTGAAGCCAGACAGGCCAGCCGGTCTGTTATTCTGGACAATCCAGACAGCTTCTCTGAGTTTTAATTTCTTCATCTTTAAATTAGTACTTTGTGAGAATTCAATGAGGTAGCAACTATAAAGAACCTGGCCTGTAATAATTGCTCAGTAAGGTTCTCTCCCTTTCTGCTAGCCCCTATCCTCCTGCAGGGGTTCAGCGAATCCTGTAGCAACAGACTACAACATGTTTGTCCCAGGTAGAGCCTTCCAAAGTAGGTTCTCTGTTTTAATGGGACTGGGGGATAATCCTTTGTCCACCAGGAAACTCCCTGGTCCGCTCCCCTTCACTCTTCTTAGCTTACCCATGACCAAGCAACTTTAGACTTGGGAGAAGATACTTCAAAGTCAAGGTAGTGTAAGGTAGTCATATTAAAGGCACAAGGCCAATGCACAGAAGGCTGGAGTTCTTCAAGCCTAGAATTGTCTTATCTGTTGAGGAATTTTAGATTGACCAGTTAATTTTTCTTGTCCTCAGTTTCTTGATTCATAAAATGGAAACAACGAGTCCACCCCTGCTTTTCTTCCACAAAAGGGAGATGGTATCTGTAAAGCAATGGGTTTAGATTCACAAACTAAGTTTAATGACCTGGTACGATCATTTCTACATGTTCTTAGGCAAGTCCATTTCCATCAGCCTCAGTTCTCTCATCTACAAACAGGAATAATAATACCCCTTTTTAGTGTAACAGAGGAGATATGAAATTCAGAACTGAAATAAGACCATGTATATTACTTCACATTATGTTATGAACTCCAGGAGATGATGGAAGTGAAGGGCTTTATTCTGTGGGGCAGGGGCTTGAGAAATGGTGAAACCTCTACCCATGAGCAGTATGGGATTCTGTGTAAAGTTTCTAAAATAGGCCTTTTTGGGATGGACACTTTCGAATCCTCTTACAATGTTTATGATGGTCATATTTCCTGGTAAATGGTATCAAATCCAAAAACCTGTCAAAGGGACAGATGGCATTCTTAGCACAAAAGAGGAAACCAATTAGAAGTTAAAATACAGAAAAATGTGAATTTGTAAATGTTAACAAATTGTTTCACTGTGGAGGACTGCGCCATATTCCCTGACACTGGTCAAGGAACGTCCCTTTCAGCAATGCTCACAGGGCACTGACCACTGGAGTCTAAGGAAACCTTACTGACTCTTCTAATATCCTTGATTTGAAACTTCATACCTAGCCCAAGTCGTTGGGCAGATGCTGATAACTGTACTACATCACTTATACAGTGACAGACTGTGTCTTTGCAGCTCAGAAATGAGCTCTGAACAGTAGGCTTTCGGAAGCAATTTCTAAATACAAGCATTAACTCAGTCCATCAACAAACACTTGTATGTAACTATATATAACTATAACTTCTGCTCACAAGACACTTCCAAACCACACAGAAAAATCCAGTGAAACTTACTGTGTGTTATAATGGAGAATGTCTCAGAGAAAAGAGATTCCACCTTTACCTGGGGGAGTGGAACATGGCTTCACAGAAGGCAAGACATCTGAGCTATGGGACAAGAAATAGCATTTGCCCAGAACATAAAGGTGATGGATGAGGTTAGGTTGTAGTAAAAAACAACCTCCAAATCTCAGCTGTTTAATACACCAGAGCTATATTTTTATTTATTTATTTATTTTTGCTCTCTTTACAAGTTATAGCCTCTTTATTCATGGAGCAGCTCCTTGTGAAAGAAGGAAATAGCAAGAAGGCACACACCAGATCAAAAGTGCAGCTGTTATACCCTTTGCTAAGATTCCCAAATGGCTTAAGATGGTCCTGGTTTGGGGGAAAAAACCTAAGAACATGGCTGTCACCCGGGCTCGGTGGCTTAGCCTGTAATCCCGCGCTTTAGGAGGCCCAGATGAGTGGATTGCCTGAGCCCGCAGGTTCGAGACCCGCCTGGGCAACTTCGCAAGACCTCATCTCTACAATAAATCAAAAATTACCCAGGCGTGGTTGCGCGCGCCTGTAGTTCCAGCTACTTGGAAGGCTGTGGCGGAAGGATCACCGGAGCCCAGCAGGTCGAGGCTGCGGTGGCCGGGAGCGGCCACTGCACTCCAGTCTGAGTGACAGAGTGAGACTCCAACTCAAAAAAAAAAGAAAAAAGAAAAAAGAAACCTCATACATTGAAGGTATCGCACTCTTACCACTCTTCTGAACTACTTGTTGTGGTATCCTGCACAGCCAGGCATGACTTCACAATCTCAAGTCCAATGGGGACCTTTATTACAACTTTATTATTTTTTGTAATGCATAGTTATAGCTGGCACAAAGTAGGTGCTCAAAAAATATTTGCGGAATGAATAAATGAATTTCTCTTTATTTTCCCAAAGTAAGACTAATCTTCTCTGTGTACATAAATAGCATGTCAGTCCCAGCATTCCACAGAAACCTGAGGCAGCAGACCTGTAGTTTTCCAACTTGGTTGCAGCTACAAAACCCTTTATTTCAAAAATAATAATTAGGGTGAAGAGTCTCTGGCACCACTTCTAGCCTGTCTGGCCTACTCACCTGGGATGGCCCCTGCCCGTTGGCATGGCTGCTTGGGCCTTGCTGTCTCCTTCCATTGACCCATTAACTCCTGCAAGTGCCTCCGTGAGCATGAGAGAATCTGCAAAGGCCTATTGGTGACAGGCACCTATGAGATCTCCAACCAGTTCTGGGTGCCGGTGGCCTGCATAGCCACCTCAAAATCACAGATTCTGCTGGCCATATTCTCTTTTCCAAGGAGGAGGCAACCAAGGGAAAATTCACCTTTACCACTGAAGATTATGACATGTTCGAAGTGTGTTTTGAGAGTAAGGGAACAGTGCGGATACCTGACCATCTCATGATTCTAGGTAAGAAGCATGGAGTGGAGGCAAAAAAATTATGAGGAGATTGCCAAAGTCGAGAACCCAAACCATTAGAAGCGGAGTTGCAATGCGTAGAAGACCTTTCAGAGTCTGCCATGAATTATTCTGCCTGCATGAAGAAGAGAGAGGAGGAGGTGTATGATACCAATAAGTCAACAAACACTTGGGTCCTCTAATTCAGCATCTTTTCAATGTTCTGTCTCATTGGACTAGCCACCCGGCAGGTCTTCTCCTGGTGTCGCTTCTTGAAGTTGATTGAGTAATGAGTGGGGAGCACTCTCCTTCCACCTTTTGTCTCAGCCAGCAGGACATGACTGGGATGTGCCTGACCTATGAGCTAGGTGGCTCAGCCTGTAATCCTGCTCTTTGGGAGGCTGAGGTAAGTGGATTGCCTGAGCCCACGGGTTCGAGACCCGCCTGGGCAACTTGGCGAGACCTCATCTCTACAATAAGTCAAAATAAATTAGTCGGGTGTGGTAGCATGCACCTGTAGT